CAGCGCATTCCCCAGCATGGTTTGGTCCATAGCAAACTAGCACATAGCATGATCCCCCATGGCATGGGCCTGCAGTCCTTCTCAGTAGGCAGTCTGGACATAGCCAGCCTGTTTTGGGGAAAGATGGCTGGGCTGTGTGGACTGATCAGAGCAGAGCTGGAGGAGGAACGGTTCTTCTCCCGGAAACCTTGCAGACAAGATGAAACAGCCAAAGAATACAGAGAGAAAGTGGGGCTGAAAAATATTAGACAGGGTGACAGCGGTGATCTCAGTGCACCAGAAACCTGCCTGTCATATGGCTTCTCGCCAGCATGCCATCAAAGGAAGGTTTTAGGCAGTGATGTGAAGGGCAGCCACAACACGGTACCTGGGGAGAACTCCTCCTATACGAAACCTAGGGAGAACTCCTCTTATATGAAACTTTAAGGTCACCCTGCCCCGGCTCAGCAGGACTTCTCAAGCACCCTAGAAGGGAAGTGGAGTGGGCAGGAAAAGCCAATGTAAGGAAGAGAAGGAGGTTTGCTGATGCTGCCACGGGTTTTGTGGAGAAGCCCATTCTCAGTGTCACCACAAGGTGGAACTTGGTACATACCACATGCATCGGAGATGTGCCCACTGTCTACAAGCAGCATCTTTGGCCAGAGATGCACTAATGCTTTTGGTCTTAGCACCCAGTCCCTGGTCCCCACTCCCCGGGAGGGAGCAAAAAGGGGAGTGCTGATGTGGAGGAGCCACTGGCATTTTTTGCTGGTGGTGAGAAACTGGCTGTTCTCAAAGCTCTGCTGTGCCAGCAGCAAGGCCTGGTCTTCTGAGGGCGTGCAGTGTAACTGGGGAGAATAAAGCTGAAAGCAGCGAGTGGTGTCCTGGAGGTGGCAAGGAAGGAGAAAGAGCAGGGTGTCTACGGGTGGGCTGTGAGAGGGCAGGAATGAAGCAAAGCACTCCAAAAGAGGGCTCCAAAAAAAAAGGCTGGGCAGGTGGGGCCCTGTAGACATGGAAGGAGCCTTGCTGTCCTCTCCTCTGGTAGGGTCTCAGCTGGAAGACAGCTTGCCATTGCTGGGACCACACTGATCCCAGGCACAGGGCTGCTGAAGAGCTGATATAAACCCCAAGTTGGATATAATCATGGGGTGATGGGAGATGACAAAAAGGGCCTCTGCAGATGCACTTAACAGGTGACATCAGTGGTTTGCAAAAGCGCTGGAGAAACCCACTAAACTCTTGTCACTTGACAGGTTTTCTGCTTTTCCAAACAGCCGCCGCTGCCCAGTGCTGTAGCTGATAGTGCTCATTCCCACCTGCTGCACTGGCACTGCTCCTCATACTAGGTGTGCAAAAGTAATCCTCAAGTTTTATTTACCGTCAGGAACTTCAGTTTCTGAGCGCTCCATCACCCTAAGAAGTGATGGAAGGTTTTTGCGTTGCTACAGACCAGCTGAACTACAGCTTTTCCAAACTCTCATTGATTCTGAGTTCACCTGGATTGAATGGTCTCACGCTTGCTGAGGACTAGGAATATGTAGGGACAGACATTGTAGTTCATTAATGAGCAGTGATATTTTGATAACGTTATTACTCTTATTAAAATAATTCTATTGAATATCACTGCCAGGGAGCCTGGGAGGGAAGGTGAAATTACAGTGTTTCTTCAAAGACTGGCATCATGTAAAATAAACCTAATTTTTTTCTTCTTGGTAAGAAATACAGAGTGAGGCACAACCTTTGGCCTTTTTAGTGGGAAAATCTCCCCATAACATGATGTTTGTTATTTGTTATGTAACTGCCACAGGCATTACTAGTCATAACAGAGTAATTTACATGATGTGCATGATGCAATGGGGAAGTGGTGAGGTCATCACCAGCATAGGTATTTTCGTTCCAGTCCTAAATTAGCACAAGTCTGGGCAAATCAGCAGCTGACATCTGTCATGTCATTTGTGTCAGTGTGGTGTAAAGAGACTATGATCAGTATCAGGGTTGCACCACTTTTGGTGTTTCCCAAATGTGGCGGTGATGGGAGAACAGGTCCAGCCCCAAAGAGCTCAAAACCAACCTGCTTCTTCCTCTGTGAAGTGGTAATAGAGCTTCCTTAGCTCCTTTGTATAAGGATGTGATGGAGATTAATTCATTTTGGAAAACTGTCTGAAGAGCAGCCTGTGCATTAATAGTTTTATCACATAGCCCATTTCCTGCGAGACTCTACAGCCTTTCTATCTCAAGTGCCTCTTTCCTGGTTATTAAAGCACTTTGCTAACTTCAGGACCACATTCTGACATCCTCGTTCACATCGATTTTCATTTGCTCCATGAGTAATCCAGCTGGAATCGATAGGATGATTAGCACAGCCCCCATCCTGGGCACGGGGACATGAATAACTTCACTCATGTGACTAGTGCCATTGATTTCAGTGGGATTGGTCGTATGGGTAAAATGGCACGTTTGAGTGTTTGCAGGCTTCGGACCCAGTCAGGTGTTACTTGCGGTGAATAAGGGTTGGAGAATTTGTCCCTAAGCCATTTGCAGGAATCATTTCCTCCAGCGCTGGAGCGTGACGCAGCATCGTGTAACATCAATAAGCAATGCCACAGTGTCACACGTACCCGTCAAGCTTCATCTATGAAATGTGACATTGTCTTTAAATGACCTCAGGACCACAATACATGCAGATCTGTTGTTTCTCAAAGCAGGGCATTTCTGGCCCAATGATCTCACATTCATGTAAAAAGCAAACTGATTTTAACTGCTTTACATCTCTAAGGCCCTCACAACAGCGAAACTCACATGTTGCTATTCTGGAGAAGCATCTAAACTCAGTGGATGCCGATCCTGTGCTTTGTGTGTGTCCAAACTTCAGGGATAAGTACAGTAAAATGTTCTCTGCGGGCCTGGAAAGCTCCAAGCAGTGCTGCCACTGGCAATGCTTGTTAGGAATTAATGAGAAAATGAAGCAGAGGGGCTCTGTGTGCTCCCAAATCGATGTCCATGGGACTCTGGCTGCTGCTGGACAGGAGAGCTGGTGCACAGGAGCAAATTGTTTTGCTAAGGCAAGTAAGGGAGACCACTCTCTACCCCACTCCTCTGATTAGATCAGTCCTCTCCAGTACAATGTGAAATACGGGAAGTGCTCAGAGGCTGCTAGCTAATGTCATCTAGCCATTACGTCATGGTGCCCACGTCCTAGCCAGAGCAAAAGCAAAGCTCACAGCTCCCAGGGGAGCACTACAGGGATTACGGCTCCCACATCCAGCCCCTGTATGTGCAGTGGGCTCAGAAAAGGCTGGAGGTGTTTCCTCAAACTCCTACTGACTGCCTGGCTAACACGTTCTGCAACGTCCCATGCAGAAAATGCCTTTATTCTCCTTTGCTGTCTGTGATTTGTAGTTGCTACATATAAATAAGGCACTACTAGTTGTACTCCTGTTCAAGGCCATGCAATGGCTCTGCCTTGTCCCCAGAGAGTTTCTTACATGTGGCATCTGGCAGCAATTAATGACTCTGATCCTGTCCTTGTGCTGGTCAAATAACCCAGTGCTCTGTGCTTATCTGTGAGTGTTGGTAGGGCTTCCTTCAAAATGCAGAGAAAGAAGGGAAAGGTGGCTGGATCGCCAGATAACAGAAGTAGAGAATATGTTTCTAAAACCTGTGATGAATATGATGGGGGGCTGGTGATGGAGAGCCTTTGATTAGGTCTTCAGCAGAAACAGTGACATGTGGTTCGCTGTCAAGTTTCTGGGGCATATGCTGCTTCTGCAGTAAGGGCCATGCAACCCAGCTTGACTCCATCTCCCTGCAGTATCTTCACCCTTGGCTTGCCTGGCAGGGCAGCAGCTAGCAAAGGCAATAGCAAAAAAATCTAGTCTGTAACAAGGTCTGTAAACTCACCTAGGATGGAACAGTTTAATAAGCAGAGCTGCTGTATTTCACTGCAGAAGGGGTCATGGCTAGGGAAGAGATGTGTTTTAGTCCCAGCCACTGCCAGGACAATGGGCAATGGTCGTGATTTTCAGCAAAGAAAATCTATGCTGGTCATAATGAACAAATTCTAAGAACATCTAGGCTTTTGAACAGGAATCTAGATTGGCTGTGGAGTCTCTGTCCTTAGAGGTATACAAATCTTATCTGGACAAGGCTGTGAGCAACCTGATCTACCTTTGCAGGTGACCCCACTTTGAGTGGGTGGTTAAACTAGAGATCTCCAAAGGTTTGTTCCAACCTGAATTATTCTCTGATTCTGTATAATCAGCAACTTGTTAAACCACTGATGGGGGCTTAATCCTGTACCAGACCACAGGATAAATCTGAATTACAAGAATAAAACAAGAGCTATGCAGAAATGCAGGGTAAGTGACTCACCCAAGTCATCCAGGAAATCAGTGGCAGAGAAGACACTCTCCAGAGTCAGGAAAATGCTCTTCTTTAGGTGGAAAAAGAAGACCATTAAAACACAGTTTCCAAGCAGCTTTTGGGCTGCATCTGCCTGGCTAAAAGGTGTTTTTAGCTTCCGCTTCACTGCATGTCAGTGGGAACAGCACGGAGCAGCTTTGCACAGAAGAGAGAGGGTGGAGCCAAGCACTCTCTGATCCTGGCATTTGTGGGCAGGCTAAGCTGACAGCCCTAGGCACTGATTAGAAGCCACAAACAATATTTGGGACTCCTCCATCCCCTGGAAATGATGCATAAAAACCCACTGGCATATGACTGTAGGAAAACTTGTTCCTTCTACCTGGGCAGCTGCTGGCAGGCTCCTTGGTGTAATTTTGCATCCAGTGTGTGCTGGAGAGCAAAGCAGGAGGAGACTTCCCAGGGTTCCACCCCCAGCTGGACTCTGCCCTCCCCTGCCTTCCTCTGCCTGCGCTCTCCCGCTGCCTCCGCTCCCTCCTTGGAGCCCTGTTTGACACCGCACACGCCGGAGGCTCCTGGATGAGCGGGGATCCCCCCAGGGGCGGCGTGGGCCCCCATCCTTCCCGACGCTCGAGGCCTCTCCCTGAGTCCCACGCTGGATCATGCAGTGCTTCCGAAGGCAGCCCAAGCGCAGCGTGTCCCAGGAAAACATGCTACGGGAGCAGAGCCGTAGAGTGGCCGCGTTGAACGGCATCAGGCTGGGTAAGGGACAAGTTGGCCAGACCCTCGGCACTTCCACACGCTGGCAGCCGCTTCATTTCTGCCTCTTTTCCCTGCGCAGAGGCAATGCTCCACCCTAAAGGCAACTCCAAGGTTATTTTTAAACTCCTGAGGCTTCTTTTGCTTTCCTTTGCCTGTAACCACCCGTCAGATGTGTAAAACCCTTCGTTTGAGGCATCAAAGAAAGTCAGACCTCTTTGGCAAAGAGTCGGTTTCCAAATCTTGCTGGGCTTTCTGAACTGTCGCTGGTTGAGGGTGTTTGGGGAAGGCAGTGCCCTTTTCCTGCCTGATTTTAGGACTTCTCAGTGGTGTATTGCCAGTTGCTATAAGAGCCTGAGGAACCACTCAGAGGTCTGCATTCACCAGATGAAAAGAAAGAGGAAACCCAGGGAGTTCTGTAACTTCTGTGTCTGGCTATGAACTCATTGCTGCTGCCTGGTGTCTGGAGAGACAGCCCAAGTGGATGTGAGTCCCTTGATTTCTGTGGCTACAGAGGGCAGGTAGAAATGGAAAATCACCATTTACCCACCCAAATTCATTGGATTTTATCAGAAAGGCTTTCTGCCCTTTTAAACCGGCAACCCTGAGTTATGTCTGGTCTTAAACCAGGTGGGAGAGGGAGAGCAGGCAGGAGGAGGCTTGTTTTATAGCAGTTGTAATTAACGTGTTTATATCAGATCAGCAGATTTGCAAGTGAGCAAAGCAGAAATATGGATTATCACTGTCTTCTGTAGACATCATTCTATCTCCGTAGTGAACTCAGAGCCTGGCTTTTACCGTGACAACTATTGTTTTATTGTGCTTCCTGCTTGCTGTAAACCTGAGACAGATAATAGAAAGGTTAACATTTTTAATGTCTTAGTGTCTAAAGCTTCATGGTGCAGTATATTAACTTCATGCTTATTGCAGTGCTTATTGCAGTGCTGTGTGTGCTTGAGGCGCTTCTACCTTTGCCAAACAAGATTTTCACTCTGAACTTTACTGCACACTAAATATGTTCTGTGTGTGAATAGAAATATTGTGTGTGAATACATAGAAAGTGTGTGATTGATATTCTGCCTGATCCTTGAAATGCACTCTGCAATTTTGCATGCCAAGTATGTATTTGGTATTTCACAGGTGATACTGAGCAAGACACAGTCCTGCCACATGTTTCAGGCAGGATTTGGACATCTATTTCAGTGTAGTGTTTGTGCTTCTCATACCCACTGTTGTTATATAGTTGAAAACCAATAGCCTTGTCCTGCTGCAGAATGTTTTTGAATTTTTAAATTATGTATGTGTATAAAGACTCTGCTTTCTTTCATACAAAAGTTTCTATTGCTGTGAGACGGAGCTCTGGACAGCAAACCTCCTCAGCCCCGTGAGGTTTTAGGCAGAAATCCTCAGGAGCTTGTTCAGGCACAAAACCTGAAATGAAATTTCTGCTGGGAAAAGGTGTTTGTTTTCTGGAAAGCAGTTCAAATGACCAACTGAGAGTAATGTCCCACTGACACATAAGGGGTGTGTTTGTGGCTCCTGTATCAGCAGATCAGAGCATCTTCTGCTCCATCTCTGGCCTAACAAAATGCTGCTGCCTCTTTGTAGATAGGAATAGAGACACTAAGTGACTTGCCCAAGGCCATTTAAAGAGTCTGTGGCACTGCTTGGACTGGGCATAGGTGGCAGGGCCCAAAATGCTGGCCCTTCTTCCCAGCCAGGCTAGCTGTCTGAGCTTGAACTGCTGGAGACAGACGCAGAGCAGGCCTGAGACAGGCTGTGCCTACCCTGTTAAGGGGGTTCTCCTTCCTCCAGGCCCACCGTTGGGTGGTTCTGTCAGTACTTGGGGTCACCACGGGCAGAGGTCAGCTCTGGGTGACTGCTCTCTATCTGAAAGGCCTCCCACATCAAAGGACTGCCGGAGCTGTTAGACACCCATGATTATCCCTCTCACCCTCTCCTGGCCAAACCCGCTGGCTTCTAGAGGCAAGCTTGTCTCCATCCCTCCCTGGCTTCTCTCGCTGCCCTCTGACTCATGCTCCCTGCCATCTTTGATCTTTGCCATGCTTTCACCATGCACTGTCCCTCTTCATCTTTCCCTCCTGCTCTTCTGAAGTGCGGTGGCCTCCCTTGCTGAGTCATTTAACCTGGCCTGGTCCTCAGGCACGGTGGCCAAGGATGAGTGGGAGGGCTGCTCCCAACCCATAGTTAGATCCGCTGAAGAGGAGGAGGATTTTGACCCATGCTAATCCACAGACTGGGCTGTGCCAGTGAACAGGATGAAGGGCTCTAAGCTCTAGCTTGTGTCTGACCTGTGTGGATCAAGCCTGGCGGAGAGGAACCTGCCCTTGACTGCTGCCTGTGCCCATGCAGATTTGCCTGTATTACATTGGTGCAGCTCTTTGGGATGTCCAGGTAGCAGGACATGCTACACATGCTGCATGTGGTGTCTGTGTAACGAAACATGCCCCAGTTAACAGGGATTTCTCATTACACACTTATGCACAAAGGCACCTGAAAGAATTGATGGTTTTCCTGCTTTCCTCCTCATGTCACCCTAGGATGGCACGTCCTCCTCCTAGTCCCGTAGTGATGCCTTGGATGGTTGGGATCTGAAGAAAGAGAGGGAATGAGGCTGGGAGCCAGAACAGAAATGTTGTAGGTGAATAGAGAGAAGGAGGAAGTTTGTTTCCCCTCCAGGAACCTTAAGGGGCACCACAGAGGTGGTAGTGAGGCCCAAGTCTGTGGTATCTTCTCAGCACTTGGAAGACCTCTGCCTCAGAGGTGAAGCCTTAACACCACAACTCAGGAGACAAAGGAGCTGTGAAGCTGGTATGGTGTCTGTCCTTCCTCTGGCCTCTTGTCAACCCCTGGGTATGCTTGAACCTCAGCGAACCTAGGAGGGTATCCCAGTTCCCATAGCTGGGCTCAAACTTTCACCCTTCTGTGCTTTGCAGGAGGTGGTTTTTTTCCTTCTCTCCATGATTTTCTTTCTGAAGTTTCCAGAGAAGGAAGCATTCAAATTCTCCTCTTGGGAACCTCCAGATACAAGCTGAGGGGCCCAGGGCATGATGTAGCATGGGAAGACACTTAACTAATGAGATAGCTAATTGAATGTAGAGGAAAGAGAGATGCCAGAGCCACCTTTTCAGGATCTCCAGCTCCCACAGTGGCACTTTCAACTCTGGATGCCTCAGCCAGGCTCAGCTCTGGGCATGCTCCTTGGCATCTGCAAAACCAATAAAATGGTGCGAGCGGCTCACTGAGTGGGCACTGGACACCCCTAATATTTATCTCTGATGAAGATCTCAGGCTTTCTTTGGCAACCTAAAATGCTATTTTTAGGCCAACGTAGCCCAGCTACGAACACCCGGTGCTGCTTTTTGCTGCTGCCACCGAGACCTGCCCTGGTGTTCTGTAGCACCAGGCACTTCAGTTCGCTGTATGAATTGTTGGGAGCCGAGGGATTTGGCCACTTGGATCTCATGTTGCGTTTTGTTTTTCAAGCAGGCCTGAAGTGATGCTTGGTATTTTATTGCCTTGCCCTATTCAAAAAACAAGTTCAAGGCAGCTGTGTCTTCCAGAGAAGAACAAACCCAATGTCACACGGGAATGACACACTGCAGTATAAATGTTATGGCATAAATCTATTAACTTGGATTTGTGCTTTTTGAGACCCTGTGTTATGTTTACGTAGCATCAGGAAATCTCCTGTGATGTGAGTGTCAGGTGGCTGTGACCGAGTGGTTATCTGCGTTGACAAGGTAAGGTTAGCAAAAATCCTGTTGAGTTGGGATGTGCTTGGTCAGAACTACAGACTTAAACTCTGTTTCACCAGCTTTGAACCAGCCTTTTATGCAATGTCAGGGAGATGCAAGGTGCCTATTAGAGAAAGCCTAGGATGTATTTCTCATGTTTCATGCTCTCACCCGCCCCAGCCCACACGCTCCAGATCTGTAATTAATGGCTGGCTTGAGGGAGAGATTCTCCCAGGTATTTAGGTATGTACAAGTAGTATATTGCTGAGGCATTCAAAACCTTGTAGAATGCCAAATCTATGTTTTCAAAGTCTCAGTAGGTGCCTGGTATCTCTCTAGATGTCTAAGTGCCTTCCTGAATCTAGGCTAAGATGTAAAATCTGAAGTTCCTGGAACCAGAAGGTCTGGTTATTATTACTTGGTATTGTGGTTGCTTAGTAGGGTGAGAAAGATGAAGGTCCTCTCAGATACAAGACAGCAATGAGGAGAGCATGGTTGCTACCTTATTGCTACCTAATTGACATGATGCTGCCTGTCACCAAACTTATCGGTGTGTGTCTGAAGCTTCATGACACTGGTCTTCAAAATTCCCATGTGGATAGGTAGAGACTGCTTGCCAGAGAAGGAAGAGAGATATCTTTGTGTATTCCTGTTTCCACAAAGGAAATTTGTCACAGAATAGATTTGAAATCACTTGAAAGTTCCTGAGAGTACTCAAATTACAAGTTATACAACTTACTTTCCTCTGCTTTTACTGTTATGTTGTTGGTTTTATTGTAGTTTTTGCATCCTAACATTAATGTTTGCTGGGAAGAAGATATTTTATGTTTGTGAACCACCTGATTGTGATTGAAAACCACCTAGTACCAAAGTCTCTGGACTCAATCTAAGAAGCCTACAAGGCTCCAGCCTATTTTATGAGCATAAAGTGCGGCACGGCAGATTTCTGGGTCTCTCTGCTCTGCTGTCATCCCCAGACCTGGCTGAACTGCAGTGGTCTGGCTATGTCTGTGATGAGTGCCCCATGAAAGGGAAGACCCTATGAGCATCATTTCTTGAGTTGATTCTTCCAATATTACCACTACTGTTTCTCTGCAGGCCTGAAAGATGACAAGGATCTGAAGTTCCTCCTGAAAGGTAGCCAGCTGCTGAAAGTGAAGTCAGGCTCTTGGAGAAAGGAGCGGTTTTATAAGCTCCAGGAGGACTGCAAAACCATATGGCAGGAATCGAAGAAGATGCTGAGGTCTCCAGAGTCACAGATCTGTAAGTAAAGTTTGCTTCATCACAGGCGGCACTGTGGGCAGAGGTGCTTGGGGTGAACCAGGACCATTATGTTTGTGATGTGGAGGTAGGGCTTGGAGCAATGCAACCAGATCCTTCACACCTCCTGTAACACACAAACTGAGTGATGCTGTCAGCTCTGGAGACAGCTGGGAGGAATCTGCCAACTCAGGAATGGCCACATTTCCCAAGCTCATGAGCTACCGCTTAAAATTGTTGTGGGGTGGGCCGCGCTGGGCTCAGCAGCCCTGCCTGGCTCGTTTCCTCCCCAAAGCAAGAGTTCAGGTTACTCAGGTGCCCGAGCCCTAATGCTCGGTGTGAGACATGGCTTGAGTGTCTGCGGTGTGGTGTGAGGCGCTTGGGCTGTTGGTCTGGGCTTTGCCAGGACACTCCTTTTCTGCCTGCAGCCCCTGGGAAAGCTGGCATTCAAGCCTCGCAAGGGAACCACAGAGATGTGGAGTTCCAAGGGCTGGCAGGAGATATCTCTGAGAGGGAAAGCCTGTTCCCATCCTTATCTTGGAAGCTCAGAATCTAACCCATTGTAAAAAGTCCATGTATGACATCCACCATTGTATGGGCACAGGGAAAACCATTCTGTGCCAGCATCACCCATCTTGGGGCCATAATTGGGACCAGAAGCCCAACTGTGCACTCCAAATGGGATCAGGCAGAGTGTATATCTGTTTATATCTGTTTTTTCTTCTCATTTGGTATTTTTCTGACATATTGCTCTGTCACTAATCATCACAGTCTTGTAAAGCCGGGAGGTAAATGAATAACGTGGAATATATTTTATCGCATGTTGAAATGTAGAACATGCTGCCCATGTTATTTACAGAATTTTTTTGGTAACAATCACAATTAACTAAATGAAGGGTGGGTCTTCCAAATTACCCCCCTCCCACGAGCAGTGATAAGATTTTCAGTAGGAGGAGTAAGGTAGCAGGGCAAAATATGTTTGGTTTATAGTCTTGACTGCCACACTCTTCTCATGTGACCTTGGGCAGCTCATTTAATTTCTTTGTGCATCCTTCCGAACATGTTTCCTTTCTCCTCCTCTATCTAGCTATAAAAGGCTTTGGATTAGAGGCTGTTCCTTACGATGTGTTTGCATACCCAGCATGGCAGGGTCCTGAGCTCAGCTGCGCTGGTTAGATACTGGTGCAATAACCCATGATAACAGCAAACGCAGAGGCCTTAGTGAGTGTTTGCTCCTTAGGAACGCCTGCTCTGTTGAGTGCTTTTGTCCCATATAAAAGCAAAGTCCTTTCACAGATAATGTCTTATTATAAAACTGATTAGGACTTGAGTTGAGAAGAATGTCTTTCGGAGCTTTCTTTCCTGTGCTCTGAGCCAGCAGTTTCCAAATTATGGGGGCTGAGAGCACTTCCAGCAACAGTCCTGACCCCACCTGACCTTCTGAAGTAAACGGGACAGGGTCCTTGTGCTGTGGCTCCAGGGACCTTGACGCCTACTTGGAGAAGCCCTGGTCAAAGTCATTGCCTCCATTGCTGGGGCAGTGGCGTGGAGAGCTGGCGCAACGGTCACTTTTTTATATACTGAGCTGCAGTAAGAGCCCTGCAGCAAAATCAAATCCTTTGAGCTGGGAGTGTGTCCGTGTGGGTGTGGATTTACAGCTTTGCTAACTGGGCACAGCCAATGTTGCCACGCTGCTGGAGATAGAGGCAGTGCCACTGCAGGAAGGAGAACTTGCTGTGCGCTGGGAGTATCCTCAGTACAAAGTGAAGATGGAGTAATAATGCCTACTGACTCCCACCCACACGTATGCTCCGTAACGCCTCCACGCATGCACAGCTTTCCCTGGAGAAAGACACTCTTTTTTTGTCGCCTGGATAACAGGAAGGGAGCAAGGCAGTTGAGGCAGAGCTTGTCCTTGCTGCTCTGGAAAAGCAAGCTCTGGCAGGGGTCCGGCCAGGTTGGCTTTGCATCCGTCCACCTGGCTGGCTGCAGGAGCATGCCTGGTGCCAGGCTGACCTACCAAGAGTGCCGGAGCGTGCTGCGTCCCACATACTCCTGGGAGGGTGTGACGTGGTGCCTGCAGTTGTGGTGCAAGCTTTCGGGAGGGCTGGAGGGCCACCGTGGGGCTGCTTTCAACAGGTGCTCTGGACGCACCTGAACTTGGAAGTCAACAAGAGAGATGAGTACTGACTGGACTGACGCCTGCCCAGTCCCAAGCCATAAGACCAAGGACATCCATTTTCCCATGCCTTTCTTGTCTGTTGGTCCTCTGATACCTTCCATTCCCAAGTTTTTGAAGTGATTGCTGGGACTGAGTTTCTTTCTTGAGCTTTTAACTTCACCAGGCTGCTTTGGGTTTAGATATAGAGAGGATTACCCCTGGTCAGTGTTGCTTTTCTCTGGTGAGCTCTATCACTATGGCTGCCTTCTCATTTGGTCCAGCGTGTGTAGGCGATCAAAAAGCAGAGGAAGAGTGCAAGGTCATGATTTGATGCTCAAAATCAGGGACTTCAAGGCGAGTCTCTCCAGAGGGTCACCCTTCCTTGTTAACAGACAGTAACTTTGCCCTCCACTACAAAGACTTTCTAAAACTGCAGATAAGCTGCCTTTTTTAGGAAGGAAAAAGAATGAGCAGAATGGAAACTGGGAGGTTTTAGCAGCAGGTCTAATCTTATCTGCAGCATTGCTGAGAGCAAGCAGATGGAGACACCTCAGAGGAGCAAAGTCTGGGTAGGGTAAGGGCTATGTTTTTGTTTGGACAGTTTCCTGTTATTCCTGTTACTGTTTTTATAATCATGCAGAAAAGCTATTTGTAAACCATTGTGTGGTGGTGTCTAGTAGATAAAACTGGGGACTGCCAAGGTTAGAGAGAAGACTCTCAGATGCTTGAAGTTAAGGAAACCCAACATATCAGGGTTGTCACAGGCACAGATGTTGCGTGGATCAGATACATGGGGTACAACCAGTACCTTCCTTTGTTGTCTTTTATTTTAAACAACCAGAAATTTAGATTGGATGCTGTCTTGATAGCTGCATTACCCACAGGGCTTTTTCAGGGGTAGGCTGTCATTCCAACATGGTTTCTATTCAGGTAGAACCTAATCCATTTTTTCCTTATTACCCATGATCCATAATTTTCAGTATGTTCCATTTAGGCCCAAGAGAACAGGCTTTTTCCAAAAGCCCTTGAAGCATATTAAGTGGTCGGTTTTCCAACAAACATGATACTCCCTGTGCTTACTCTCTTGTTGGCTCCCACAGAAACATAGCAGTGCTGGAACACAAAGGACTGCACAAAAAAATTGGTTTAAAAATCAAATTTTCAGTATTTCCTGCTATACCCTGTGTCTGAGCTGCAAACTGGGCCCATACACACACTGCTGCTCTCTGTTATCTTGAATGTTGTGTGGAGCCATGGTCAGGGTGGATGCTGCTTTGGCCTGTGAGGCTTTTACACATGGGACACCTTTCTCCCTGGGTCTGAAACAACAGGGTTCAAGTGGCAGGATTAACAGTTTTGGGGCAAAGAAAAGGTTTGTGCAAGGGGGCTGGTAAACAACCAGTTCAATCAAAGCCAGTTCACTTCTGAACATCACTATGGTGGGAGGGAGGGGAGCCAAAGGAGGCAGAGGGGCTTATGCTCAAAGAGCAGCAACCTGTCCCTAACACTGTCTTGTTTTGACTGTGGTCAAATATCAGGTCTCATCTACACAAAAAAAAGAGCAAAAAGGCATGTGCTGCTTTCAGTGAAATTGATTTTTGAAAGTCTTTCCTTAAACCAGCTGAAATCCCTAGCGTGAGCTCACTTAAGCCAGACTCAATCCCTTTAAAAACTCTCTGAACTTGGGGATTTGTAAGGATGGTTGAGAACTTTCCAGTGAAACATCCTTTTGAGCATTTGGTGGAGAAACAGAGTATTCAAAGCCGGAAGGAGAAGACTGAATGGGTTGTTTAGATTTAGGGGTCCTACAGGGGAGCCCCTGGAAAAGCTTTTGCTTTGCTTCCCCCTGCACCCTCTCTCTGCTGGAGGCTCAGGGAGATGACGTTTCCTATGGCAGCATGAGTGAGCTTCGCACACTGCACCAAGGATGACTCACCGGGGGCGCGTCGTTGAGTCACGAGCCCTGTAGTCAAGAAAGAAGTTTAGGAGTTTTGGCTGAAATGTTTCCATTTCCAGCCAAAAGCTTTGCTTAAAAACTAGTATTGTTGGAGGGTTTTTTTCGGTTAAAAGAATCAGTTTTGGGAGCAAATTACAGAGGTGAGTTAAATTCAGTTGCACAACTGAATGTTGCAAGTGATGATTGTATTATTATTTAAAGTAATGAAACTGATGTTTTGATCTAATGATTAATTATCCTCACTATTAAAAATGTACAGAATTTTTTCCAGGTCCTCTGACTTCCAGCCCAATTATAGGATATTTTTGCATGGCTTTAAACATAGTACAAAAGCTTTATGTTTATATCCTACTACCAGTATTCAGCAGAAAACTTTTTCCTTCATTTTTGAATGTCTGTGAAATTTAGGAACGCCCTTAAAATGCCATGCAATGAACATATTATGCCATTTTTGTGGAAGAATGAACAATTATCTCCATTGAATTAATACCCTGAACTTGCTTGCAGAAGAACAGAAAGGACGTGATATTGCTCTGGGCTGGCTCAAGTCAAGAAGTGAAAACTTTAAATTGCTCCTGATAAGTGCCTAAAGTCAACAGAAACTCTCAGCAACCTGTACACACACAGCAGCCAGTTGACTGCACCGACAGCTTCCTTCTGGAGCTGGTTAGGCAGTTTCTTTAGGAATCATTGCTTCACGGTCAGACATGTATTTGTCCCTGGAAAAATATTTGCTGATGTGAATGTGTTATGCAAGACAGCCATCAGCTGTGAAAACAAAACCGTCTGTCTGTGGGTCTCATTAGTTTTTATCAAAATCACTCAACCCATAAAACAAGTCATTTCAAATGCAGAGCTGCCTGTTTTTTCGATTTAATTTTGAAT